AAACTAAGAACAAAAATGAGGAAAAAACAAAAACAAAAAAAAGGACAATGATTTTTTTGAAGTTTTTTTTTTGTTTATTTTATTTTCTTTGGTAAGCTGCGGATGCCTTTCACGTTCTTGTTTTAAAATGGAAAATGCTTCTTTTTTTGGTTATTATTATTGACAAAAAACAAAAATTAAAAAAAAAAAAGAAACTAAGAACAAAAATGAGGAAAAAACAAAAACAAAAAAAAGGACAATGATTTTTTTGAAGTTTTTTTTTTGTTTATTTTATTTTCTTTGGTAATTATTATTTTATAAAAATTGAAAAATACCCCAAAATTAAAGTATGTGATAACTATATTTATATGGAAGTTTGTGGGGTGCCTAACACCTTTTCCATGCTTAACTGACCCTTTGAGTCTAATCAATTTCTACGTAAACCTTGGTGATCTGTCCCACCTCATTTGGATAGATGGCGACTCCATCCATTTTGGCACGTCAACAGTTTGGCGACTCCACTTTGGACATTGAGGGGTCAAGCCATTTATACTTTAATTTTGGGGTTTTTCAATTACTAACTTTTGTTTTGTAGGTGGCATGAAATACCTTGTAAGTTTTTTTTATTTTGTTATTTTATTTAATATTTTGTTATTTTCATATGTTAACTTTATGTGTATACTCCCTCACACACCTCACTTGCATATCATTTTTGTCCTTGACAAGGTGAACCCAACCTCTAGATAGATGGATAACTCATGGAGCAATGAAAAGTGCAATGCTTTCTTTGTGAAGTGAGATTTATCCTTTTTAGGTTCATTTTGTGGGTTAATATGGCCTAACAGCCATAATGCTGCTGTTGTATTAGGTCATGAAATGCCTCTTGTTAACTCTATAGGAGTTGGCAATTGTTGACTTTATGGAAGTCAATAATTGTTGACTTATGGAAGTTAGTAGTTGAAAAAAAACTTAATCGTACAGGATCCACTAAGAAGCCGCATGTAATGGACTTGACAAAACTTAACCCTAGGGCGGCCAGCCTAGTAAACCACCTTCAAAGTCTAAGAATCTTATACATAGGACACAGAGAGTATTTTAATTTTAACTAATGATTTTGTGTTTCTTAGGTGAGGAATTTGACTAAGAGGTATGACATTTATTAACTCTCCTTTAATAAATAGATAATTAATTATTTAACACATGGATTCTTCGTGAAAAGGGACAATGGAGAAAAAAGAGGGTGAGTTTTGAGTTGGAATGTCAATCATTATCCAAGGAGAACAAGTCACACAAGGATGGACTCTCTATGTAGACCATAAGACCTTGTGCAAAAGACTTGATTGCTGCTTGGAATGGTTTAAGCAGTCTTGACAAAGTGAGGTTTGATGAGAAATTTGGAAGAATAGTTGATGTATTGCAAGTAGAGTTGGACTGAGAAATCATTAGGGCAATCCTAAGATTTTATGTCCCACATCTTCATTGCTTTGTTTTTCTTGAGTTTGAGTTGGTACCTACCATTGAAGAATATTTTCAGTTGTTATTTAGTCAATCAACAATGAGTTCAAAAAGTTGATCAATGGAATATATTTTGAAATGATTGAGGTTGAGCATACTATTCCACCAAATCAACATAATGCAGCTTCAAAATTTGTAGAAAGGCTTTCAAAGATGATAAAAAGATATTGTGAACATGAGCCTTAAATAATAGAATATTGGAAAAATAAAGAGAAATGAAAGTTTATGATTAGTTGGAATAAAGTTTGAAGTCAAATTTTATATTTTCTTGAATTCTATTTGTTGAGAAAAAGCAAGTTCCTCAATATAAGAGAAGAAAAGATATGAAAGAGGCAACCTCCTCATTATTTTTCTTTTTCTTTTCAAAAAAAAAAAATCAACAAAAGAAAAAGATATGAAGGAGGCAATCTCCTCATGCTTTTGGCTTGCATGACAATTATTTGGCTCTCATGTCACCTTTCCTTACAATAGCAGTTGGTTGAAGTTACTTTTCACAGTGAGGAATCCATGTGTGTTGAATGATTGGTCCTAAAGAAATTATCCAAGAGTTCATTCACTTATTCTTATCAGAGCTCTTGCAAAGAAGATGGCTGACAAAGCTAAAGGAACTTTTGAAAATCAGTTTGAAAACATTAGAGAACACTTTGAAGGAATTGATGGCTTCCTTCCAAGCTCTTCAAGTAACCTTAGTCGCAAGGGCACCTTTGACAACAAATCCGTTGATTGAAGGAAATGCTTTGATGGCATATCTCTCTATTGCCACATCTCCTTTAACTTTTGGAAAGGAACCAATGTCATCTAGCCCACCAAATCTGATTATTGGAGCTTCTAGGACAAAATCACTTGTTTTAAGTGCTAGTGTTACTCAAGTTGTCAAGTCAATCACTAAGGATGAAGACAAGGCAATTAAAGTAAAGGTGCAATTGATGGAGGAAACACTAAAATCGATACAAGGTGTCCAAACCAATAAACCGGTTGACATCTCATCTCTATGCTTTTTCCCAAACATTCAACTGCCACATAAGTTCAAATTGCCTGAATTTGATAAGTACAATGACACTAGTTGTCCTTATGCTCACTTGACAATGTATCATAGGAAGATGGATCCATATGCCAGTGACAATAAGCTAGTGATACATTACTTTCAAGATAGTCTGATAGGTCCTGCAGATGCTTGCTTCTCTACTTTAGACAAAAGTAAGGTCCAGAGTTGGCATGGTTTGACTCACAATTTCATGACTAGCTTCTAATAGAGAACATTTGCAAAAGACAGAAAAGAAATCAAATGAAAGCTTCAAGGAATTTGCTCAAATATGGCGTGGAATGGTTGCTCGAGTTCAACCTCCACTGACTAACCATGAATTGAGTAATTTATTCATTAAGTCAAAGGGTTGTATCGTGAGAAGTTAATGACTTGTGTGAATTACACTTTTGCTCAGTTGGTTGTTGTGGGAGAACAAGTTGAGGATGAAATCAAACTTGGTGTTATCCTAGATTATCAAGCTATAAAGGATATTCTTGAGCAACATCAAAATTGTAAATTGTTGGAGTTGGATAATCCGACTAACACGAAAATAGTTAACCGAAGTGAGAAGGACAAAAAAGAGAATGAAGTACAAATGGTGAATTTTGTTTCATATTGACTTGGAGAAGTAGTTCAAAATCAAGGAAGTATTGACATTTTGATCCCCTACCATTATCATATTCAGAAATATTCAATCAAATGGTAGCGCTTGGGGAATTGACTCCAATCCCTGCAAACAAGCCTCCTAATCCTTAGCCATTCTAGTATGATCCACAAGCCAAATGTGATTATCATGGTAGGAGCATTGGTCATGATATAGAAAGGTGTCTAACTTTGAAGCATAAGATTCAAGATTTGAAGGATTCAAAACACTTACAGTTTCACTCATACAAGGTTGATCTTAGAACTACTATTGATGAAGGCTTGAATAAGTGAACAATGGAGTTTTTCCCTATTGCTATCATTTTGGAATAAAATGTGTCTATCATGTTAGTTTTTATTTGCATTTTCCAAACTCCTTTCATATTGCAATTTGAATCTTTGTTCTCCATGTTTTAATTCATAGTTATTTAGTCCTTGATTTTATACTTCCATGAGTTGCATTGTTAATGAACTTGAATTCAATGGAGAAAATTGAGGTTGAGAAATGAGGGAAGTGATTGAGGGGAAAATAATGGATGAGTAGGAATGAGGGAAATGTACAAAGAGAAATTGATCTCAAAATTTGAAATAAACATTCCTATGATAGAAAGCTTGAGAATTCTTATCCTTACCATTTGAAACCCCTGCCAAGGACTCATCTTTAAGAATTGTCACAAATTGCACAAAACCAAAGAAGAAGAAAAAGAAGAAGGGGAAAATGGTGGAATTTTCGCTAACTTTGTTAGGTGATTGCTATCATTTTGATGCCTATGGTAAAAGATCCAAGGATAGAAGGCCTTCCTTTTGAAACTCTATTCCCTAAACCTTGACAAATTACTCTTAGTTAAAGACTTTGAGCTTAATTTCAATGAACATTCTTTCATGACCAATTCAACAACCTGGGAATATTGTTGCATGCCAAATTGGGGGCAAACTTTACTTTCATTGGAAGATTTGGTAAAAATTATTTTGAAAGGAAGAAAGAAGCTAAAAAAAAAAAAAAAAAAAGGGTGGAAGCTCAAGAACAAAAAAGCAAGGGAGAAGAAGAAGAAAATGGGGATAAAGGAGCCAATAAAGGAGAAGAAAGTTTTAAAATAAATTGAAGAAGAAATCTCTAAGACATGGCATGCAATTGGGGGGCAAATTGGGTACTTCAAGCCTATATGGACTATTCTTTCAATAGCCATACCTAAACCTTATAACAAGCCATTAAAGTCCTTTTTGAGGGTTGGATTTTTGTAGACATTTTCATGATGGCAATCATCAAACTAGGGATAGCAAATCATACTCGGATTAAAGTGCTTTTAGGTACAATGATGAAAAGCCTTGTTTCTATTTCTCAAACACTAAAAGTTGACCTTAGTTACCCACTTTGAGCCAAAAGAAAAGGCAATCATCATAATAGAAAAGCCAAGACGATTATTTCTTTGGATGTACCTGCATCAAGAACTTGGGGTGTGAAGAGTGAAATTAGGGGGGGAGAAGGGATTTTATCATTGAGCTTATATGTCCTTTCTTTCTAATTCGCCAAGCCTTAAGACCATGATACAGGCTTATTCAAAGCCCTTATCAGAGAATTTGAAAGCTGTTGAATCTGAGTGTGATATTTCTCAAACAAAAAAAAAAAAAAAACAAAGAGAGAGAAGAAGAAGAAGGAAAAAAAAAAGAAAGAAAGAAGATGAATAGAAATAAATGTGGCAAACAAGTTGAGATTTCATGGGAAGGAAAATTTCATTGCTCTAGCCAAAATCTAAATTTTTGAAAAACTCAAAATTCCACTTGGTTCCTAATTCTAGAAGTAATTCTCATTGGCACTTTCACTATGTGAAATTCTTACAAAGCTATTCTTGAGGAATTTGCTCATTTGTGAAAATGGGATCAATTTCTTTTTGAACCAAAAAAAAAAAAAAGGAGGGGAAGATTCAAAAGCAAAAAGTGAGAAGAGAAGTTTGTGTTTTGGGAGTTGCTTTTGAAAAAGAGAGAGAGAGAGAGAGAGAAAAAAAAATTGTATGAAAAGGTCATCTTAATTGTATTCTAGGTCAAATTGGCAGTTGTTACTCATAGAAGTTAAATCACATTATTTGTTCATATAATCCATTGTGCTTCACAAGATTTTTCGTTAATCTTACCCATGATTGTTTTAAACATCACTGCATTTGACATTGATTTCAACATCTTTGAAAGGTT